TGAGCGCCGAAGAATAGATGCTTTTGAACTATGGTGCTGGAGAAGACTCTTGAGAGTCCCCTGGACTACAAGGAGATCAAATCAGTCAATCCTAAAAGAAATCAACCCTGACTGTTCCCTGGAAGGCCAGATCCTGAAGCAGAATCTCAAATAATCTGGCCACCAAATGAGAAGGGAGCCCTCACTGGGGAAGACCCTGATGCTGGGAAAGACTGCATGTCAAAGAAGAAGAAGAAGAGAAGAGATTGGATTTATACCCCACCCTTCACTTGGAGTCTCAGAGCGGCTTACAAACTCCTTTTCCTTCCCCTCCCCACAACAGACACCCTGTGAGGTGGGTGGGGCTGAGAGAGCTCTTGACAGAAACTGCTCTTTTTCAAGGACAGCTGTGCCAGAGCTTGTGACTAACCCATGGTCACATCAGCAGGAGCAAGTGGAGGAGTGGGGAATCAAACCCAGTTCTCCCAGATTAGAGTCCGCGCACTTAACCACTACTCCAAACTGGCTCTTCAAAGAAGAAGGGGACGGCAAAGGACGAGATGGCTAGACAGTGTTATCGAGGCAACGAACATGAAGTTGAGCAAACTCCGGAGCATGACGGATGACAGGAGCGCCTGGCGTGATGTAGTCCACGGGGCCGCGAAGAGTCGGACTCGACTGTGCGGCTGAACAACAACGACAACTCCCATCTAAGTACTAACCAGGGCCGCCCTGCTTAGCTTCCAAGACTGGCCTAGCCTGGGCCATCCAGGCTTGGAGAGAAACCACACAAAAAGAGGGAATCCCATTTATGCAAGTATGTTGCTGAAATACTATATGCCTATGGCTTGAATCCAGCACAGAGTTCGAACAGGCACAAGGGCTTCTGAGAAGTACTGGGGCTGAAAAACCCCTGGAATCACACCAGTTATCTTGCTTTGAGTCCAACAGCTCCTTAGAGACCAGCAAGATTCCCGGGGTATGGGCTTTCATACTCCCTTCATCAGATGCAAGTCGGAATAGAGAGGCATGACTCCATTTCAACTTGTATCCGGCGAAGGGCGCTTTGACTCTCGAAAGCCCACACTCTGAAAATCTCGCTAGCCTGTAGGGTGTTACTGGACCCGAATCGATCTGTTCTACTGCAGACTAATGCTGCTTCCCTCTGAGCCAGTAAACTGTTAAGAGGCAGTCTTTGTCGAGTTAAGAAATAGTCTTGGAGCAAAGTCGAAGGGGGGGGGGGGTATGCCGTGTAATTGTGGTTGCAAACAGCATCAGAAACATAGAAACCATGGAGACCTTTTGGTCTAGTCTGATGTCCTAAGCATGAGAGCTATTTGAAAGCCAGTATGGTGTAGTGGTTAAGAGCACAGACTGTAATCTGGGAGATTCGGGTTTGATTCCCCACTTCTCCACATGCAGCTGCTGGTGTGACCTTGTGTCGGTCACAAGTTCTCTCAGAGCTGTTCTCACAAACAGTTCTCGAAAGGGCTCTCTCAGCCCTACCCACCTCACAGGCAGTGTTCCCGCTAAGCTGAGTCCATGTGAGATAGCTCACAGTTTTTTAGTCTCCGGGTCGCACATTTTTAGCCCAGGAAGTTTGGCTCCAGAGCAAACTAATTTATGCAGTAGCCAAATCGCTCGCTCACCACTTTAATGCCAGTAGCTCACAGAGTAGAATTTTTGCTCACAAGACTCCACGGTTTAGAGCATAGGTTCCCAAACTTCTTTGGCCTACTACCAAAAGACTTCTTTCTTTATGCTTCCACCACCCCGTTACTTGAATTCAGGGGTCATTTCGTAGAAAAAGAGGTGCAGGAGCTCATTAGCATAACTTATTTGCATATGCCACACCCCCTGACATCGCCGGAAGTGTGTTAGAAGGCAACACCCACCGCTCAGGCTCCACTGGACTGTTTTGGATTGCTAGCTATTGGGGGGGGACGTGCAGATCTATCCTCACAGAGGAGGGAGAGCTTGTACCTGAAGGCGGGCTGGGCAGGGGGGGCTCTGCAACTTACCTGGCTGCTTCTTGCTCCTCAGGGGCCCAACTGAGGGCTTCTGGGAGCAGGGGGCGGGGCTTGCTGTATGTGCCCACCCCCTGTGCTCCTTACTGCCAGAGCTCCGCTCCTGTGCGCTCCCGAAATGACCCCTGCTTGTATTCAACGCCCCCCAATTGCAGCCAAGGCTCCACCCACCCACCCACCTGGATCGTTCCAGCACCCCCAGGGGGCGGTATCACCCACTTTGGGAACCAGTGGTTTAGAGGGAGCGTTGCTCACAGGGTGTCTGTTGTGGGGAGGGGAAGGGAAAGGAGATTGTAAGCTGCTCTGAGACTCCTTCGGGTAGTGAAGGGCGGGGTATGAATCCAATCTCTTCTCCTCCTCTTCTTCTTGTTATTCTGTGGAGGAAGAAATGCTTTCTGCCTTTCTCATTCATCCAGGGTTTAGGCTGGAAAAGTTTCCAGGACGTAAAGGGTGATAACGATTATACTCCGGAGAAAAAAGAAAGGTAGACAGCGTTCTCCTTGAATGAGATGGGGAAGAAGGAGCGAGTGTGCGGGGTACATTTCAAATCAATCCTTCAAAAAACAGCCAGAAGCAGGTGGGAAGACCCCGAGGCGCTGATGAATGGAGGGACCGTCAACGTGGCGAGGGTTGGAAGCCAGTGAAAAGAAAGCACAATGCAGGGGTGAGCCTTAAGAAAGGAGAAAAAGTGTTCTCGCTAAGGTGCCTATTGACAGCGCAGCCCACACGGAAGCGCAAATGAAGCTTAGTGCATAAGGAGAACAAAACCCACCCACCCCGTGCGCGCAAGCCTGCAGGGGAAGCATCAGAACGGGGGGGGGGCAGGTTGTGACCTCTGCAAAGTTCAGCGGCAGTCTTGGAGTAAAGTCGAAGGGGCAGGGCACGCCGTGCCGTCCTGGCCGCAAACGTGGGGGGCGAGGGCCGTGCAGACAGCATCAGAAACAGAGGCTGATTCTGCACCCACCTGTTTCCTCACAGTTTTTCCCACAGCCGTGTCAGGAGGTTAATCTCACAAGAGCGTAAGAGGAGCCAATGTTGGATCAGGCCAAAGGCCCATCCAGTCCAACACTCTGTGTCACACAGTGGCCAAACATACCAGGGGCTATCAGGAGGTCCAGCAGTGGGGCCAGGACACTAGAATCCCTCCCACTGGTGTTCCCCCCCCCCAAGCACCAAGAATACAGAGCATCACTGGCCCCAGACCAGGAGTTCCTATCTATACCTTGTGGCTAATAGCCACTGATGGACCTCTGCTCCATGTGCTTATCCAGGGCTTTTTTTGTAGAAAAAGCCCAGCAGGAACTCATTAGCATAATAGGCCACACCCAACAGCAGAAGCTCAGTAGCCTATTAGGCCACACCCCTGACATCACAGCTCATTGGCATATCAGGCCACACCCCCATGTTGCCACACCCACCTTTTGCTTCTTATTCTGTTTACCTTGTTTGTTGTCCAAACCCAGGGCTTTTTTTGTAGCAGGAACCTCTTTGCATGTTAGGCCACACACCCCTAATGTAGCCAATTCTAATGAGTTCCAGGTTGAGTGCTGATCAGGGGTCATTTCGTAGAAAAAGAGGCACAGGAGCTCATTAGCATAACTCATTTGCATATGCCACACCCCCTGACAACACCCACCGCTCAGGCTCCACTGGACAGTTTTGGATTCCTAGCTATTGGGGGGGGGGGGCGTGCAGATCTGTCCTCGCAGAGGAGGGAGAGCTTGTACCTGAATAAAACTTGGTCTTCAAGGTGCCCCTGGACTGTTTTGGACCGGGGGGGCGGAGGGGGCTCTGCAACGTGCCTGGCTGCTTCTTGCGACGGAGAGCTCTTGGGAGCAGGGGGTGGGGCTTGTTGCATGTGCCCACCCCCTGGGCTTTTTACTGCTGGAGCTCTGCTCCTGTGCACTCCTGCAGGAAATGACCCCTGTGCACAGCTAATATCCATGGCCCAGTATACAAACTTGCAATAACTGCAAAGCATATCAGAAAGCAACACCTGGTCTCACACACACACACACACACACATAATTCTTTATGCATGTATTTCTGGATGTGTGTCATTGTAAACTAAAGAATACTGACCACTGAGGAAGGCCCGAAGGGGCCAAAACGCGTATGGTCTTTAGGTCAAAAGTTTTACCCATCTATTGGATATGTATAACAATCAGTTCTGAATGAAATATGTTCTTTGAGTCTTATATTCTGACTATTTCTTTTAACCTTTTTATGTTTTATTTATGTGTACACCCTAATAAACATTTGTATATTTTTATATTAATTTACTTGTAGCTTGACCCTCTTAGATCACACCCACTGGTGGACCTCCTGATGGCAACTGGTATTTTTAACCACAGTATGACACAGAGTGTTGGACTGGATGGGCCATTGGCCTGATCCAATATTGGCTTCTCTTATGTTCTTATAGATGGAATTCTCAATCTGGGGCAAGCGATGCTCTGTATTCTTGATGCTTGGGGTGGGCAACAGTGGGAGGGCTCCTAGTGTCCTGGCCCCACTGCTGGACCTCCTGATAGCCCCTGGTATGTTTGGCCACTGTGTGACACAGAGTGTTGGACTGGATGGGCCTTTGGCCTGATCCAACATTGGCTCCTCTTACGCTCTTGTGAGATTAACCTCCCAACACGGCTGTGGGAAAAACTGCGAGGAAACAGGTGGGTGCAGAATCAGCCTCTGTTTCTGATGCTGTCTGCACGGCCCTCGCCCCCCACGTTTGCGGCCAGGACGGCACGAGCGGCAGACTAGGACTCGGGGGGGGGCGCAAGTTCAAATTCATGCCTCTACCATGGAAGCTCGCTGGGTAACCTTGAGCCCATTACAAACTCTCAGCCTGGCCTACCTCGCAGGGTTGTTGTTGTGAAAAAAACGGAGGAAGGGAGAAAAATGTTCTCTGCCACGTTGAGTTCCACCAGGGGAGAAAATTGGGATATAAATAAATAGATGCACACTTCTGACCCTGTTCTTATTCCTCTCTAGGTAACATGAGTAGGAACTGCACAAGCGACGGCTGGTCTGACATGCAGCCCGCGACGTACTTTGCAGCTTGCGGATACGATCCCAATGCCACAGTCCTGCCCGAGGTCAGTAGAACATTTGAAGCCCCAGAATCAGTATCAGGTTTCTGTCAGATTCAGGTGGGGGACTGTGTTTGGTCTGAAGCAGCAGACGAAAGTGCAAGTCCAGCTGCACCCTTGAGACCAGCAAAGCTGAATTTTGGCGTAGTGGTTAAGTGCGTGGACTCTAATCTGGGAGAGCCAGGTTTGATCCCCCACTCCTTCACTTGCACCTGCTGGATGACCTTGGGCAAGCCGTAGTTCTGGCACAGCCGTTCTTGAAAAAGAGCCGTTTCTGCCAGAGCTCTCTCAGCCCCACCTACTTCACAGGGTGTCTGTGGTGGGGAGGGGAAGGGAAAGGTGTTTGTACTACTACTACTACTACTACTATAATCCATCATTCCAAATAAGAAATAACAGCGGCCAACTAGATATAATGCAGAGATCTGCCATTCGCTATTCATGCGTCTTCCTGTTCACAAATTTATTTATTTATTTACCCCGCCCTCCCGCTGAAGCGGCTCAGGGCGGCTTACAATAGTTAAAAACCAGTATACAATTAATAGAACATCGTCTAAAACAATACAATCGGTAAAATATCAACATACAGCTTATTAAATTTAAGATTTAAGATGTGGCGGCCATCTGTTATAAAGTACTAGTCGTTATGTGGAACGGTCAGTGTGGCAGTGTGGTCGGACTATTAAAACGCTTGCCGGAACAGCTCGGTCTTTACCGCCCTACGGAATTGTTGAAGATCCCGCAGAGCTCGAATTTCATTTGGGAGCTACCAGTGCAGCTAGGGAAAACGCCCTAGTTCTTGTTGATGTTAACTTCTGCATATGAAGCAGAAGTCGTGATAGTGTTATACAGCAGTTAGAGCAGGGGTCCCCAACCTTTTTAAGCCCACGGGTACCTTTGGAGTTCTGACACAAAGCAGTGGGCACAGCCAAAAAAAATGGATGACGCAGGAGGCAGAGCCAAACTCACAAAATGTCAGGGAGCAGGGTTATGCCTAACACTAACTGTAAGTCTTCAACATTTCAGGCAGAAGCCCTGTGTAATGGGATGCATTTTTAAAAAAAACAAACAGACTGTTTTGAAATATTTTTTTCACATACACACTTCAGTCACGTAGTGAAGGTCTTTGTGCCGTGCTGACAGCCGCTGCCGAAGCAACATTGCACAGGAGGAGGAGATTGGATTTATACCCCCCCCTTTCACTCGGAGTCTCTGAGCAGTTTTACAAACTCCTTTCCCTTCCCCTCCCCACAACAGACAGGGTAGGGGGGGGGCTGAGAGAGCTCTGAGAGAGGACTGTCCTTGCGAGAACAGCTCTGGGAGAACTTGTGACTGACCCAAGGTCATCCAGCAGCTGCAAGGTGAGGAGTGGGGAATCAAACCCGGTTCTCCCAGATTAGAGTCTGTGCTCTTAACCGCTATACCAAACAGCCAATCAGATCTCCTATGGCCAATCGGAAACCCTGCCAGGCAAAAGCCCCACCTAGCCTCATCCACTTTCTAAAAACAGTTGTTAAGAGCCCAGAAGGGTATCAGCGGCAACTATGGCACCCAGGAGCACCATGTTGGGGAACCCTGGGTTACAGCATCAGTGCGCATACCAAGTCATGGAGCGCACCAAGGTGAGGCAGGGAGGGGGGAAAATGTGGACACACACACCTCATTTACTTGCTCCATTTTTACCCTCTGGTGTTGCTGCTCTGAGCGGATTTTGATATCTGCCCATGCTGGAAATCTGTGTTGATAAGAGGAGGGGGGAGTTCTTGGCAAGACGTGGTTGGGTGGGGCAGCACTTCTGTCTTTCAGCATCATATGCCCATGAATACTCATGAAGCGGCTGTGGACTGAATCAGACCGTTGGTCCATCAAAGTCAGTGTCGTCTACTCAGACGGACAGCCGCTCTCCAGGGTCTCAGTCTAAGGTCTTTCCCATCACCCCCTAACTGAATCCTTTTAACTGGAGATGCCGGGGACTGAACCTGGGACCTTCTGCGTGCAAAGTAGGTGCTCTGAGCCACAGTCCCTGACATGAATCTGCCTTCTACTGAATCAGACCCTCAGTCCATCAAAGTCAGTATCGCCTACTCAGACGGGCAGCCGCTCTCCAGGGTCTCAGTCTAAGGTCTTTCCCATCACCTACCTCCTGATCCTTTTAACTGAAGATGCTGGGGATCGAACCTGGGACCTTCTGCACGCCAAGCAGATGCACTGCTCTTTACGGCTCTCCGGGGTCTCAGGCAGAGGTCTTTCACATCACTTCTTGCCTGATCCTTTTAACTGGAGATGCCGGGGATTGAACCTGGGACCTTCTGCATACCAGGCAGAGGCTCTACCACTGAGCCACGACCCCTCTTTACAGCTCTCCAGGGTCTCAGTCTAAGGTCTTTCCCATCACCCCCTAACTGAATCCTTTTAACTGGAGATGCCGGGGACTGAACCTGGGACCTTCTGCGTGCAAAGTAGGTGCTCTGAGCCACAGTCCCTGACATGAATCTGCCTTCTACTGAATCAGACCCTCAGTCCATCAAAGTCAGTATCGCCTACTCAGACGGGCAGCCGCTCTCCAGGGTCTCAGTCTAAGGTCTTTCCCATCGCCCCCTAACTGAATCCTTTTAACTGGAGATGCCGGGGACTGAACCTGGGACCTTCTGCGTGCAAAGTAGGTGCTCTGAGCCACAGTCCCTGACATGAATCTGCCTTCTACTGAATCAGACCCTCAGTCCATCAAAGTCAGTATCGCCTACTCAGACGGGCAGCCGCTCTCCAGGGTCTCAGTCTAAGGTCTTTCCCATCACCTACCTCCTGATCCTTTTAACTGGAGATGCTGGGGATTGAACCTGGGGCCTTCTGCATGCCAAGCAGAGGCTCTTCCACTGAGCCACGACCCCTCTTTACAGCTCTCCAGGGTCTCAGGCAGAGGTCTTTCCCATCACCTCCTGCCTGGTCCTTTTTAACTGGAGATGCCAGGGATTGAACCTGGGACCTTCTGCATGCCAGGCAGAGCCTCTACCACTGAGCCACAGCCCCTCTTTACAGCTCTCCAGGGTCTCAGGCAGAGGTCTTTCCCATCACTTCCTGCCTGGTCCTTTTTAACTGGAGATGCCAGGGATTGAACCTGGGACCTTCTGCATGCCAGGCAGAGGCTCTACCACTGAGCCACAGCCCCTCTTTACAGCTCTCCAGGGTCTCAGGCGGAGGTCTTTCCCATCACCTCCTGTCTGGTCCTTTTTAACTGGAGATGCCAGGGATTGAACCTGGGACCTTCTGCATGCCAGGCAGAGCCTCTACCACTGAGCCACAGCCCCTCTTTGGAGCTCTCCAGGGTCTCAGGCAGAGGTCTTTCCCATCACCTCCTGCCTGGTCCTTTTTAACTGGAGATGCCGGGGATCGAACCTGGGACCTTCTCCACACCAAGCAGATGCACTGCTCTTTACGGCTCTCCGGGGTCTCAGGCTGAGGTCTTTCACATCACTTCTTGTCCGATCCTTTTAACTGGAGATGCCGGGGATCGAACCTGGGACCTTCTGCACGCCAAGCAGATGTTCTCCCACCGAGCCGTGGCCTCTCCCTCACATCTATGAGGCTGACTCAGCATGCCTCCCCTACACCTGAGGAGTCCAAGCAGAGCATTCTTTGATGCTCTTAACCAAAGCCTCTTAACAGAACCCTTCCAACACAAGATCCGCCGTCAGATCTCCGGAGTGTTAGCACGAGTGCGCTTTACTGATAAAGGAATATACAGTTTGAAAATTGCAGCAACACGAAGTGAGCGTTTTCATGCGGCAGCTGACCTCCCGTCCGGGGATTTGCTGCTCATTTCATTTGAAATGAATTAAATGTTTACTCAGAGTTCCCTGGCAATAGGCAAGCCGTAGATGTATTAAAGAGACGGCTGCGTGAACTGCGGCTGGTTTCGTTCTCAGTGGCCACCACTGAATTTTATGCCACAAAGTCTCTCCGTCTGGCAATGAGCAGCTCCTAGTCCGATAGTCTAACCACTACACCTAGGGATGCCAGCCTCCAGGTGGGGCCTGGAGACCCCCTGGAATTACAGCTAATCTCCAGACTACAGAGAAGAAGTGCCAGCCTCCAGGTGGGGCCTGGAGACCCCCTGGAATTACAGCTCATCTCCAGACTACAGAGAAGAAGGAAAAGGAGAAGAAGAAGAGGAAGAAGAGGAAGAAGAAGTCGTCATTTTTATACCTCACTTTCTCCAAAGAGTTGCAAAGCAATTTAGAATTGCCTTTCCCTTCCTCTCCCCACAAAAGGCACCTTGGGTGGCAGGTGGGGCTGAGAGAGTCCTGAGAGAACTGGGCCTGGCCCAAGGTCACCCGGCAGACCTCATGTGTCTCAGAGTGGCTTACCATCTCCTTCCCTTCCTCTCCCCACCACAAGCACCTTGTGAGGCAGGTTGGGCTGGAAGAGTCGTGAGAGAACTGGGACTGGCCCAAGGTCACCCAGCAGGCCTCATGTGTCTCAAAGTGGCTTCCAATCGCCTTCCCTTCCTCTCCCCACCACAAGCACCTTGTGAGGCAGGTTGGGCTGGAAGAGTCGTGAGAGAACTGGGACTGGCCCAAGGTCACCCAGCAGGCCTCATGTGGAGGTGGAGTGGGGAATTAACGTTGGTTCTCCCAGATTAGACTCCACCGCTCATAACCACTACACCATGCAGGCAAGAAGAAGTGGGGCCGGGCCGAGAGTGAGGAACCCACAAGACGTTCCAGGGCAGGGATTGGGTTGCCAGTTCTAGTTTGGGAAATAACCGGGAGATTTTGCAAATGGAGCCTGGGGAAGACAGAGTTTGGGGAAGACAGGGACCTCAGTAGGGGAAAATGTCACAGAGTCCTGTTTGGCGTAGTGGTTAGGAGCACAGACTCTAATCTGGGAGAACCGGGTTTGATTCCCCACTCCTCCACGTGCAGCTGCTGGTGTGACTTTGGGCCAGTCACGAGTCCTTTCAGAGCTGTTATCTCAAGGGCAGTCCTGGATCGTGGGAGGAAGTGGGCTGTTGGGGGAAGGAAATCAACATACATATATATAAGCGCTCTGATGAATCGGCTGGTCTCTTTGTCTCTTTTGCAGACCGTCTTCTACGGCTTTGTGAAGACTGGCTACACCATTGGACACAGTTTGTCTCTCGTAGCCCTAACCATGGCCATGATCGTTCTCTGCATTTTCAGGTAACGGGGAAACGGGTTGAGAAAGAAGGAAATGCAAATTAATGGAGCGAGGGGAGAAAGGGGGTTGGTCCATAGCTCTGGGCACGCCTTGTAGAAGTTGTCATGCCTAGAGCCAGAGTGTCTTTGTGGACAGAGTCAAAAATGTTCACACACATTGAATAAGGCACGTCCAGTGCTCTTTGCAACTGGATTTGACTGTGTTGAATGATAACATCCATTTGCAAATGATCAGTAAAGTGCATTGAAAGTGCATTATTCAGTGTGCCTGAAAGCCCCCCGTTAGACATAGAGAGGGTTGCCCGCCCCCTGCTGGAGGCAACAGGTCCCCCAGGCCTCACCCCACACCAGTGTTCCCTCTAAGCTGAGTTAGTGTGAGCTAGCTCACAGTTTTTTAGCCTCCAACTCTGTACAGGATTAAACCCACTCAGCCCAGTCCAGGGGTGAGAGGGAACCCTATATTTCAGCACCTGAAACAAAATCCACGAGACAGTCTCTACTCTCTCTAGAATTCACAACAGTTTGCCACCAGAATCTCTTCCAAGGGGTCCCCACCCAGCCTAAGAGCAGAGATTCAATCTCTCAGCTGGCATCTGGGACTTAACACATCAGCAATTCTAACTCAAAGGTGCACACAAGTACTGTCACAGTGGTAGCTCTGTGGTCAGCGCTTAGACACGAGATTTAGCCCTGGAATTCAGTTACCGCATCAGAGACAATTACAAATATGAATGATCTTTATTCAGTGCAAAGCATAACAAGAGACTAATAGAGGATACAAAAATAATAACAACCTATGGCTATTTGCCCTTACTGCACATTAATAATAACCATAGTTACCGAGTTAAGTATAGCATCAAGTAGTCCAAGATTGTCCAGTGCGTAACAGTACAGGTTGGCACCAAGGGACTTTGAAGAGAAATCCCATCTTGTGCAGGTATATAGTCCAGGATAGTGATGCTGTGTGTTCTTGGGGGAGGGCTTCTGGAGTTCTAGCCCCACTGGTGGACCTCCTGGTGGCACCTGGGTTTTGGCCACTGTGTGGCAGAGAGTGTTGACCGGATGGGCCACTGGCCTGATCCAGTGTGGCTTCTCTTCTGTTCTTATGTTCTGACTCGTTTCAAATGCCATCTTCCTCCTCCAGGAAACTGCACTGCACCCGCAACTACATCCACATGCACCTTTTCATGTCCTTCATCATGAGAGCCATCGCCGTCTTTGTTAAGGACGTCATTCTCTTTGAGAGCGAGGAGTCGGACCACTGCTACGTGAACACGGTCAGTCACACCTACTCATCAGGGGCACTTATGGTGTTTTGGTCCCATGAGCTCTGTTTTTTCTCCTCGTGGCCTAAACTTACAGAGGCCTTCAAAAAGCTGCTGAGTCCAGATCAATCTTCACTGCTCCTCCTAGGAGTGGATGTCCCCGGAGAGAACTCAGGGCCGCTGTCTCATCTACTTCGACCCCGAGTTCCCACTCTTGTTGGAGTAACAGCAGTCCCTGTGGACAGTAGTTTTTTTAAAAAATTGATGTTAGTTAAATAAATCCCCGCAAGAAAAAAAAAACTAACACGGCAGGAGAAGGTCACCTTTGGTGTAGTGGTTAAGTGCGCGGACTCTAATCTGGGAGAACTGGGTTTGATTCCCCACTCCTCCACTTGCACCTGCTGGTGTGACCTTGGGTCAGTCACAAGCTCTGGCACAGCTGTCCTTGAAAAAGAGCAGTTTGTGTCAGAGCTCTCTCAGCCCCACGCACCTCACAGGGTGTCTGTTGTGGGGAGGGGAAGGGAGAGGAGTTTGTAAGCCGCTCTGAGACACCTTTGGGTAGTGAAGGGCGGGGTATAAATCCAATCTCTTCTTCTTCTTCTTCTTCTTCTTTCTTCACGTTTTTGAGGGAGTCTGCACGTTAAATGAGCAGAACTTTTCGGTAGCTTTGTGGGCCTTGGGGAAATCGAAAGGTGAACCAATTACCAGTCGGTTCTTCGTGGAGAATAGGGGGATTCTAACACAGTGTGGAGGGCTCAGTGACAAAATGGCTGCCACAGAAGGCAGAGACACACACAGAGAGGAGGCCCAAGTGCAGGGGAGAAGAGGGGTAATTATTTTTTAAAAATTCACTGGGAAGGAGGAGAGAGGGAGGATAAAACCACCTCTATGCTGGTAGCTCCCACGGGAACAACATTTTCTTAATCTGCACTGCCAGCAGTGTTCCCTCTAAGCTGAGTGAGTGTGAGCCAGCTCACAGTTTTTTAGCCTCCGGCTCACACATTTTTGTCTCAGCTCAGGAAGGATGGCTCCAGAGCAAACTAATTTATGCAGTAGCCAAATCACTTGCTCACAACTTTAATGCCTGTAGCTCAAAAAGTAGAATTTTTGCTCCCAAGACTCCACAGCTTAGAGGGAACGTTGGACAAGACACCAGACTCGATGGACCACAGGTCTGATCCAAGAGAGCCCTTCTTGTGTTCTTATCAGAGGAGGGCCTCAGCCTCTCTGCCCTGTTGTTAGACCTCTAGAGGAACCGGTTGGCCACTGTATGATACAAGTGTTCCCTCTAAGCTGAGTTAGTGTGAGCCAGCTCACAGTTTTTTAGCCTCCGGCTCACACATTTTTGTCTCAGCTCAGGAAGGATGGCTCCAGAGCAAACTAATTTATACAGCAGCCAAATCGCTCGCTCACAGCTTTAATGCCAGGAGCTCACCAAGTAGAATTCTTGCTCACAGGACTCCACAGCTTAGAGGGAGCATTGACTGCCAGTCAGGTCTTCAGGGGCCAATCAGAAGCCCCGCTGGGCCAAAGCCCACACGGTGCCACCCACTTTTCGAGGTGAGCGGCTGAGGCGACGGGCGTCCAATGAAATTTCAGACTCCCCTGCTGAAGCTGAAGCTGAAGCTGAAGCGGCCATCTCTCGTGGCCTAGGTTAAGAAGCTCGAGAGAGCGATGGTGCCAGCTGGAAACCTCTGTATGAGGATAAATACTGTGCTCTGTTTTGATTTTTTTTTAAATTGTCTCCATTGTCTATATCTATATTTTATATGTCTGAAATGGTTGATGTGTTTCTGATATTGTGTTGTGATCTGCCCTGAGCCCGCTTGCGGGGAGGGCAGAATATAAATTTGAATAATAAATAAATAATAAAATAAATAAATAATGCTTGCTGGAAAGGTGTTCGCAGGCACTGTGGTGCCTGTGGGCACCGCCTTGGGGGACCCTAGTGTCGAATATGATACCATTTGACTTTTGGGAGGAACTTCCAGTTCTTCATGCCTGGTCGTTTTGTGAGTCGGCTTAGTTTTGAAGTGTCCCCCCCCCCCATTCCCTGGACTGTCTTTCAGCTATGTTTTCATTAAGAAAGCACATTTTGGCCTGACTGTACTGTTTTTATCTACTTCTTTGATGTCGTTGACCTTTCGAGTCGCTTCAGCAATAGTTCCGGTTCTGACGAGCGTGCATTTCGATGCAAACACCTGCCACTTTAGATACCAAAGGGAAACCAAAGAAGGACGGGAACCAGCGTACAAGAATGGGTAAAAGGTAAAGGTTCCCTTGCTCAAAAGCCAGTCGAGTGCGACCCTAGGGTTGCGGTGCTCATCTCCATTTCAAAGCCGAAGAGCCAGCGCTGTCCGAAGACGTTTCCGTGGTCATGTGGCCGGCATGACTAAACACCGAGGCGCACGGAATGCTGTTCCCTTCCCTATTTATCTACTTGCAATTCCTTGCTTTCGAACTGCTAGGTTGGCAGGAGCTGGAACTAGAGATGGGCGCTCACTCCATCATGCGGCACCCGGGTCTCGAATTGCTGAACTACTGACCTTCCACAGCCTGCAGTTCAGCATCTTAACCACTTGAGACACCGCAGCTCCTACAAGAATGGGTACAAAACACAAAAAAACGGCTGGCTGAAATCACTAAAGGTGAACAAACAAAAAATGTATGAAAACAATATTTTCATACCGAGTTCGAAAACACAATAACCATATAACTAGAATAAAGCCAAGGTGTTCTTACAAGAAACAACAGTCGTGCAGAAAAAGTAAAGTCTCAGAAATTTCAATGTGTCTCATTCCTGTTGTATTGTAATTCCATAGTCCAACTTGACGTGCATTCATCATCATCTGTACTCAGGGGTCATTTCGTAGAAAAAGAGGTGCAGGAGCTCATTAGCATAACTCATTAGCATAACATCTGCATATGCCACACCCTTTGGCATCACTGGAAGTGTGTCAGAAGGCAACACCCACCGCTCAGGCTCCACTGGACTCTTTTGGATTGCTAGCTATGGGGGGACAGGGAAGTGCAGATCTGCCCTCATAGAGGAGGGAGATCTTGTACCTGAATAAACCTTGGCCTTAAAGGTGCCACTGGACTGTTTTGGATTGCTATCTGGGAGGGAGCTCTGCAACTTACCTGGTTGCTTCTTGCTCCTTGTGGCCTGGGGCTGCTGGGAGCAGGGGGCGGGGCTTCTTGCATGTGCCCGCCCCCTGGGCTCTTTACTGCCGAAGCGCCGCTCCTGTGCACTCCTGCAGGAAATGACCCCTGTCTGCACTACCGTTGCTTCTTGTAAGAACACCTTGCCTTTATCTAGTTATACGGTTATTGCGTTTTCAAACTCGGTATTAAAATATTATTTTTATACATTTTTTGTTCACCTTTAGTGATTTCAGCCAGCTTTTTTGTGTGTGTGTGCTTTAAATACCAATGCAGCTTATTTCTACCGAATTAGAACAGTATACCGTTTCCATTGAGTGCCTTGTTTGCTAACTGAATAGCCACCAGTTTGAGTGCTTTGTCAATATCTGTTGATTGCTTGCCCTGTTGAGAGCGTTTTTGTAAGAATAGAGCCATAATGTCAACAGCTAGTAGACCATTTGAAAACCCTGGTATTCCACGGACTTCCCCGTGCTAAAGTCTCTTGTTACTCAGCTGGGATACAAGCTTCTCAAAACAAGGCGTTTGAAAGGACAGGAGCTGTGATGTGAACCGGAGGTCAAAAGCAATGTCTGAGCAGTCATGAATAATTGCCCAGAACATTACGCCGCTAATATCTGCCGGCATTATCTGATGTAAATGCCAAGAAGTCAGTACGTGGCGGCAAGCTTTACTCTGACTTCTCCACCCAGGCAGGTCATAGCGGAAGGGGAATGTGCTGAAAGCGTTAGAGGCGTATCGCAGAGCCAGAGAAAGCCGGTCCTTCGAGACCAACCTGGGGGCAAATCTGGCGATGGATTCAGCTCTTGCGGAACGTCGAATGTCCCCAGGAACTCTGTCCCAGGAGCCCAAGGGCTGGTGGGGTTGTTTACTCGCTGTCCCCTCAGATAACTTCTGGGAGAAACTTTGTGGGAATATGCAGCAGTCGTATCCTGTGTCCTCAAACCAGCCATGGTGTAGGTCACCAACCTGCAAAGTGGTATGGATGCTGAAAGATGAAGAAGAGTTGATTCTTACACCCTGTTTTTTCTTACCCTAAGGAATCTCGAAGTAGCTTACAATCACCATCCCTTCCTCTCTCAAGGGGCACCTTGTGAGGCAGGTGGGGCTGAAAGAGTCCTGAGAGAACCATGACTGGTCCGAGGTCACCCCGCAGGCCTCATGTGTCTCAACGAGCGGGACTGAGAGAGTTCTGAGAGAACCGTGACTGGTCCAAGGTCACCCAGCAGGCCTCGTGTCGCAACAGGCGGGACTGAGAGAGTTCTGAGAGAACCGTGACTGGTCCAAGGTCACCCAGCAGGCCTCGTGTCGCAACAGGCGGGACTGAGAGAGTTCTGAGAGAACCGTGACTGGTCCAAGGTCACCCAGCAGGCCTCGTGTCGCAACAGGCGGGACTGAGAGAGTTCTGAGAGAACCGTGACTGGTCCAAGGTCACCCAGCAGGCCTCGTGTCGCAACAGGCGGGACTGAGAGAGTTCTGAGAGAACCGTGACTGGTCCAAGGTCACCCAGCAGGCCTCGTGTCGCAACAGGCGGGACTGAGAGAGTTCTGAGAGAACCGTGACTGGTCCAAGGTCACCCAGCAGGCCTCGTGTCGCAACAGGCGGGACTGAGAGAGTTCTGAGAGAACCGTGACTGGTCCAAGGTCACCCAGCAGGCCTCGTGTCGCAACAGGCGGGACTGAGAGAGTTCTGAGAGAACCGTGACTGGTCCAAGGTCACCCAGCAGGCCTCGTGTCGCAACAGGCGGGACTGAGAGAGTTCTGAGAGAACCGTGACTGGTCCAAGGTCACCCAGCAGGCCTCGTGTCGCAACAGGCGGGACTGAGAGAGTTCTGAGAGAACCGTGACTGG